TCTCCGTGCTAGATCTGAGCTGCTCAGAAAGCAGTGGAAACTCCGGTGTGAAAGTTTCCTGCTCCCCGGCACGGTCCCCGGCCGTGCCACCCCCTCACTGCACTTTTGAAGCTGAATGCTGTAGGAAGTTAAACCACTGCCCCCCACCCTGCAGCATCCTCGTCCCAGGAGCTGAAGACGGATCATTATCCGCTACCTAGTGTTGGAGGAGGAAAATATAATAGCCATGGGGGTTGTTAGAAGTGCTGAACACCCCTGACCACAAAGACAGACAGACAGACACTCAAACAGAGTGGCAGAAAACACTTTGATACTCAGTCACACTCACAGATGACTGTTTCTTCGTGTTTTATAATAAAGATGTTGAGCCTAGCCTACTGTAAATAAAGTTAAAAAAATCCAAAGCATCTTCCTCTAAGAGCCATCTGCAGTTGGAGAAAGACCAGATTAAGAATTTGTGAATACAGTTTTCAGACTTCAAAGTGAATATCTGTTGTCTGCTATTAGAAGCACCACGCTAGATTTCCACAAAGCTTTGAAAGATGTCAGCTTACAATATACCCTAAATTTGAATGACACTCATATTATAGAAGTCTTTCAAGACCCAAGAAAGATTTAAAAGCATTGAAGTGCCCTGCCATCTACACCCCTCCCTCCTATAATCCAGCAGCTCTAATAAAAATCAAAGCAGCCTCAGAAATGTATATGTTTAGGACAGGTTCCCACACCTCCCCCCACCATTCTAAGCTCTTACCTTTTTTTTTTTTCCTTAATATATATAAATATACATATTTAAAGGTTTCTGTAACAAGCATACTGTGCAATGAACAATTCCTGAATCTCTTGCCCCCTCTCCCTCTAAGTAGCAATAAAACTCAGCCACAACCAACCTGAGCAAGAACCCGAAAAGCACAACCAGAGGCAGCAGACTAACAGAGCCCCTTTCTGCTGATTTGATCTGCACACAGAGAAAAGCCAAACTTAACAGAAACCTGCTCCTCTCCTGCACGCACCCATACGCTCAGGAGAGCCTCACTTGCCTCTGTTTATAGACTACCTCTGCCACAACCACTCTGGAAATACAGCAGTGTGAGTGAGTGTGTGTGTGCCTCTCTCCACCAATGTACTTGGAGAAGGAGAAGAAAAGAGGGAGGGAGAAGTTATGTGTGGGGAAAGGGAGAAATAAAATCAAAACAAATGGTACAGCTAATGAGGACAATTAAATTAATTATGTTCAAGGAGATGAGATTTTTTTTCCCTCCAACTGTATGATCTGTTACCCCTCGCTGGCAACTGCTGCTCTGTAATTCATGGCAACTGATTAGTGCATCTATGCAAATCTTTGTTTAAATCATTCAACTAATTAAATGATGGGATTATTCCTCTGCCTACGGTGACATCATTCGCAGTAATTAGTACTCTATTTGGACTGTGGCAATAAGATACCCGATGTCAACACCAACCTGCAAAGACATTAACCACTTTGTCACTTTGTGTGTGTGTATATGTGTGCATGTGCGGGAAAGAGAAAGGAACAAACACCCAGATCTAATTGCATCTTCCACCCTTCTTTACACTCCCCCCGCCAATCAAGGATCCTTAAAAAAAAAAAAAAAACCAACAACAACAACAAAAAAAAACCTACAAAAAAACAACTTACTGAATAATATGCCAAACCACATGTGTAAAGGAATAAAATGGAATAGTTAACATTCAGCTCCATGCCATTCATTTCCCCCTAAAATGTAATGATAATTAGATGGGTCATAAAATGCTCTTCTTTTCATTATGACTGATGAAATGCATTAAAGCTGACAGGGTATTACCTGACAGTAATTAGGTTTTGTCATGAATTAAATTATTTGAAAGCAGGCTATCTCCCCAATCATGCAATTTACAGCAAGATTTTTTTTTAATCTGTGCTACAGAAGAGAGAAAGAGAGATAGAAAATAGCAGTTTTTCTCTTCATAATCATATGAATTATTCACAGAAAAAAAATCATCAGAAAAAAATCGTGCAGATGAAGAGGCTTGCCACTTAATGTACTGCACAGATGTGATCATCAGCGGTTGCCGACAATGAAATATACAAGTGCACACAAAAGTGATCTGGTGAACAAGAGGTGGAATTTAATCATCTTCTCCTGACACTTGCGCGAAAAACACCATTAACCCTCACCAAGTCCCCTGTTTTCCCCTGCCCACCCCCTCCCCATACACACGCACACAAAAAGTGAAAAGAAAAGAAATTGTGCTTTTGTTTACTCAGCCAAGCTAAAGGTTGGTTCCAGCCAGCCAAGCAATTTCTTCATTTCCAGTGTAAACTATCCAGTTTAATTACAGATCCCTAGAAAAATCTTTGCTAAAGGATTGCTGTAAAGACCTAGGGGTTTTTGGTCCGATTACCCTTTGCTTGAGCCTGTGTTTCAGCAGCTCATAATACTTGCCATTTGATAAAATTTACTTAATTTTTTAAAAGGTTTTCTGCAATAATCTCAGC